GCTACCACTATAGTGGCAGGCTCTGCTGGCACCAGCCACTACGCTACCACTATAGTGGCAGGCTCTGCTGGCACCAGCCACTACGCTACCACTATGGTGGCAGGCTCTGCTGGCATCGGCCACTAGGCTGCCACCATAGTGGCAGTCTCTGCTGGTGACTGACAGAATACAGAAAATAGCTTATGAAAGCACTTCATACCTTGTTGAAGTAGCTTGAAGAGCAAACCCGGCGCTTGTCGAATTCCCGCTATTTCCATGAAACATCGCAGGAATAATCTGGATCGCTTATATCCTGTAAAACGTGTTCCGGCTAGAACACAGAGAAGAAGTGTCCCACCGGCTGCCATATTGCCATATTAAATGATATTTAAGTTAAAACTAGAGGCTTCCATTCAGAAATACATCAAAAATCTGTTAACAAGACTTCAATAAGAATAACCGGGGTAATTTCCTGTGCAATGACCCCAAAGTTAAATATTTCTATTTTGGAGCCATTATTTCTGCCTTGTGACAAAGTGCTGCAAAACAAACATTGTTTTTTAGAAAAAAAAGGAAAAACTGCATCATCACAAACCACTGGACTTTGTTTCCTTTTCTGCATAGCTTGACACTAAACCAGAATATTATAGCTTCATTGTACATGCTTCCCTCACAGCAACTGAACATCTTTCCTCTACCTTTTGCACCAGTCATTGAATGGTTCAGTTGAGGGCAAGCTCCAGAAAATCCCTGAACAATTCAATTGGCACCCTTTTCCTTTAAGGTCAGAAAGAGCAACACAGGATTGAACTCATTTAATTCTAGTTCATCAAATATTTTTGATAGCAACCTGGCCAGAACTGACTCAAATTCCCACGAAAAGAAATAAAGCTAAAAAGTTCTTAAGCTCAGATGGACAGGTTTCTCTCTAATATTCTCTTGTAAACCTCTGAGGCCTTCATAGAACTGCTGGATTTAAACTAAGACTAGATGACACATAGTATGGGTTCCAATGACTTCCAAAAACAATTTCCTAAAGAGTACTGAAAACCAATTGTTTTTATTTCAACATTAAAAAAACATTTAAAAAAACTGAAAATCAAAAAGAACTTATCTCACACTTCACAATGGCTGTAACAAAGCAAACTTAAGTTTGTGACTCTAATGTGACCAAAGCTTAGGATTATCTGGAAGGTACTGCTTTTTTAAGCATCAACACCAACAATGAGGCATGCATGTTATTGACTTTATTTATCTCACAGTGGAGAAATTTACTAAATGATCGCACATTTTCATGTAACATTTCATATATTGAAAACTAAAATAGCCCATGATCTTTGTTTTCTTGCACAAACATCTCCTGCCTCCCAATGCATTCATTTCTTTTAAACTGTTTTCAAAACAACAACACAAACTAATGTATTTTTTCATTTAGAGTTCACTCATGCCGGCTGTCCACAGACAATTCCTGAAGCAGCCGCCTCTTACGTCAACAGAGATTTGATAAGGACAGCTAGTTCTCTGATGAAGGCATTTCTATTCAAGACTGTACCTGGCAAGCTCCCAGGGACTCGTTCACTGAGAGGGCACTGGGAGAGCGTAAACAACTGGCAGCCGAATAGACTGTGTCATCATGAAGATTGAAGTGAAAGTTGAAAAGGAACTCTATCAATTAGATAATCTGATTTAAGTCAGATTACTGGATTTAAATTAAAACAAAAATACAAATATGATTTGATTTGTCTACATATCTAAGATTTGACAATGGGACAATGTATAGAAAGCATATAGATGATGGATGGATGGATGGATGGATGGATGGATGGATGGATGGATGGATGGATGGATGGATGGATGGAT